GGGCATATTGCTGGTGACTTGGATAATTTCCCATTATGGCTATTCTCTAGGATATCGCTTTTTACTTTGTCAAGCATAAGACACAAGAATTTCCAGGTAGCTGTTTTCTCCAAGTGCTCGATCCTAGAGACTAGTACTGATTAGAATTTAAGGTCCATCTTTGTCAATCCTCCCAGAACATCAAGTCTTCCATGGTTTTTGGTATCCTATGGGGAATAATGGTCAAGTTATGCAGTTTGAAATGAGGGGGGAAAAAAAGGAAGAGGCGGAGAAGAGGCAGGAGCAGATAGAACTATATCAAAAGATAGAACTATATCAAATAGATGAGGAAGTTTAGAGGTTTTAAATATTTAAACATTGAATAGTTTGTTAGCTTTTGTTAACATTTCAGCATTTGGGACAGCACTTGGGCCTGTGATTCCTCTGAAAGACTTCTGGAGGGTAAGATTTTCCTTTGGAAAAAGTTGTTTCCCCCACCCACCCCCCTTTATTCACTTACTTTAAAGGAAGACAATTCGATAACAAACTATTTCAGTGGGTGATTTGTAGCGGGCAGTAACACTTAAGACGTTTATAAGGCACAGACAGCAGCCAATGCCCTTCCCAATACCTGATATTCACTGAGGTTTTTCTTCATCCTGGGGTTTGGCGTGGGTTTTGGAGGAGAAGTTTCAGAAAACAGTCAACATCAGCACAGTTAGGGCCTTATAAACAGGCTCTCCAGAGTTCGACTCCTCCTCCTGCACTGGCTCTTCCTGGGAAACCCGGGTGGTTATACCATCCCAGCGGAGCAAGCCGCAAATCGCCTAGGGGCGGGAGCGCCCTGGGCCGGCGAGCCGGTAGTGCGCAGGCGCGGGAAGGGATGCGCGGAGAAGGGTGCGCCGAGAAGGAGTATGCTGGGCTTGCCGCAGGCCTGGCAACCAGCTTCCAGTCTTTGGCCTCACGCCCAGAAGGAGGGAATCGTTGGCCAGGAGATCGGGTTCCAGGTTTTCTGTCTCACCCCACGCGCACAAATTGGACCCCAAGACACCTCACTCCTTTGCCACTTTTACCCACCACCTACTGTGGGACAGACTCAGCAAACCCATCCGACAGATGCTCTTGCCCTGCCTAGCACTGTTTTCTGAGCTCTGCTTTCTGAACAAGGCCTACTGCCCCCATCGCTCCCCACTGCTGTTAAGCCCTTACAGACTTGATAGTGGAACCGGGACCAAAGTGACCATCAATTTGCCAAGTGGGGTGGGAATCAGAATCCCGGTGTATCCACTTCATAGATGTGTAATCTTGGCGGGTTAAACTTTCTGAGCTACTTTTTGAAACGTAAACACACGTTGTAGAATGTTAATTTAGCAGCCTCAAATCAGTCCTGTCTTATTTCCGCTGCCTTAAGTCATAAAGGGCTTCCTTACCTACACCCAGCCAATTGCAATGGCAATTCAGCTAGCAATTTTAGGTAGTATCTTCCCGTACAATTCATCCTATCCACCTTTGCCAGATTAAATTTCTTAAAAAATAAGCTTAGTCATACCTCCCATCCCCCTCTCCAATTAATAATCCTTATAAAATGACTTATGTGGTCTTCCCAACTCTATCTCATCCTACACCTCTACACGTATTCCTTGTTAACTGTATCCATCTCCTGCACTTTCTGGCATTCATACCCTTTCTCCACTACACAGTTCCCCTTTCCACATTTCTGTTAAAATCCTACCCATCCTGCATGGCCAACTTAAATGCCACCTTCTTCAGAAGACCACTCGATTTTCCCATTGTCCTCATTCTCTCTTCCAGACCCAAGCCTTTTGTTATGATACCTGACACATCTTGTTTGCAGTTGTGTACCTGTTATCCTTTCTACCTAACTTTCCCAATTATACATTTACAAGTCCTTGACGAAAAGATCGGGTTTTTTTCTATCTCTGTATCCACACAGGTGCTTTCCAAAATATGAACTAAAAATAAGGAGATTTAGAAAGCTTCATTTTCATTTTGATTGAAATAGTCAAAGAAAAGTTTCTTTTGAGAGTGCACTGTTGAAACTGATAGCTACAAATTAGTTATAAATGGAGAGTAAGGAAAGTCATTTCTTAAACCCCTACTCAATGCCTGCAGTGTGACAGGTGCTTTCACTTATGTTTGCTCATTTCTTCACAATTCCATGAGGTATCATTCCATTTACAGATGAGAAAACTGAGGCTCAACATATCACAGCTTCGAGTGGCAAACCTAACGTTTTTAACTCCCTTCTGTATTACTTATTGAAAAAAGTAGAGGAATTAGTACTCCCATAAGGACCTTTTTAAGAATCAAAGATGATGATGTTAATAAATGCCCTTACTAAAGTATAACATGTTAAACAAATATAAAGTATTAATTATGGGTAATAGGTAAAATAGATAGATATCCCATTTCTATCACTTAAGCACAACAGTACCTTGAATAAGGCATCCAGTGGACTAGAGACCAATAGGCATTTTAATCTTAATATTTTACATCGATGTGCTTTTTTTTATTTTGAGACAGTCTCTCTCTCTCTCTCTAACCCATGCAGGAGTGCAGTGGCACGATATCAACACACTGCAACCTCTGCCTCCTGGGTTCAAGGGATTCTCTGCCTCAGCCTCTCAAGTAGCCGGGACTACATGTGCACACCACCAAGCCTGGCTAATTTTTCTAGTTTTTGTAGAGACGGGTTTCACCAGGTTGGCCAGGCTGGTCTCAAGCTCCCGGCCTCAGGTGACCCACCCGCCTTGGCCTCCCAAGGTGTTGGGATTACAGGTGTGAGCCACTGTGCTCTCTGATGTGCTTTTTAAAAATGTCAACTCCAATTATGTAGGCTGGCATTTAAAAATACAATAAAAATAAGGCTAGACAAGGTGGCTCACACCTATAATCCCAGCAATTTGGGAGGCAAAGGTGGGAGGATTGCTTGAGATCAGGAGTTCAAGACTAGCCTGGGCAACATAGTGAGACCCCATCTCTACAAAAAAATAATTCACCGGGTGTGTTGGTACCCACCTGTGATTTCCAGCTACTTGGGAGGCTGAGGCAGGACTGCTTGAGCTCACAAGTTCAAGGCTGCAGTGAGCTGCAGTTGCACCACTGCACTCCAGCCTGAGTGACAGAAATCCTGACTCCTTAAAATAAAAATGTAAAAAGAGCATTTAACTACTATATTGGCAGGTGGCTATGATGAGTCCATCATATAATGTTTATATAATTCAATGTTCACATGACGCCAAAATCTATTTTGCAACAAAAGACAAAAATAAGACATTGTCCCTGCTCAGAAGGCTTCCAATGTGAAATGTAATAAAACACAGGGAATGAAACTGTAGGGCTATCCACATTCAACTATATTAAAAAAAATTTTTGCATGAAAATTTTCTAAGACTTTGGTAATAAGCAGTGAAATCAATGCCTTAAGTAGATTTTGAGATGGTATCTTAAAGACTGGTATTCATCTGGGTACTGTAAGGAAAGACTGATTTGGTTTCTGGGATATAATGAACGAACGATTCTCAACTCATGGCCAGAGATTCCTCCCTTGGTATTAGAATAATTTGAGATGGAACAGAGGCTATGAAGTTTCAGAACAAGGTGGTACTTTCTGCTCTTGCTTTTTCTTTATTTTAAAAATTCAGTTAACATCAAAGAGTGTGTATGTCTTTTTTTTTTTTTTTTTTAAGAAGGAATGCTTTAAAAAGATATGAGCAGTGCCAACATGAAGACCAAAAAAAATAAACAGTGCGATGTGGTACCACAAAAAAAAGGGGAAAACATCTGAAATAAGGGGGGAGAGTCAAAGGTCAAGATCACAAAGCAATGGAATAATCAAAAGATAACAAAAGGCTAACTAGGCAGGTTAGACGAGGGGAAGACTTAATATGAAATTTGTCCTAGGTGAAATTATTAAAATATTTAAAGATATAATCTAAAGCTCCTATTGAAACAAAAGATAAATTTAAAACAATTTTGATTAAAAACAGAAAATATAAAATATTTATTTAATAAAAATTTAATTAAAATTATTTAATAAAAATAATTTTATAATCTATACAGAATTGAAAAAGTACAACAAATTATTTTCACTTATTTGTAAAACTGCATACAGTACAACTTGCACGTCGGGTTCAGCATTCTACAAATATGGCCACATACCAAGATGTGAACATATTCTTGACTTACATAAGAAAAGGCTCAGGTTGTTTGCCACAAACTTTGAATTAAATTCCAGGGAAATATTGCTTTGGTAACGTGAACAATTTGTACCACATTCCATAAAAAGAAAGATTTATTTCCTCAAACAGCACTTTTCTACTTGTTTCAGAGTAAACAATTCCCAATATAGCTAACAAAGCAAAAAAACAGACACAATATAAAATTTGAGGTTGCAACTTTTATGACATCACTTCCCTTTCCCTTCCTTAGGTAGTGTTCTTTTCCTTTTCCTTAATTGTAAAGAATGGTGAACAGAAATGACCTATCCTTATCCACATCCATTTGCTTCTAGGATTCCTGCTTAAACCAAATGAGTACATGAATTTTGCAATCTTGATACACTATTATTAACACTTTCGCTGTGTCATTTGTACAAAGTTAATACCGCAGTTAAAAGCACCTATCTAGATCCTTTTCAAGATAAGGCAATGAAGTCTGCTTTAAAATAGTTTTCATGTCTCACATATACTAGCAGCCCCTTGGTAGACTGATTTCAGAATTAAATGCGTACAGAACATCTTTTCAAGTAACCTGGTAATGATATCACTAGCAGTTTTAAGCAAATATTCAAGAGGATCTACCTTTAGAAACAAAGGCAGATTTAAGGTAAAAAATGCAGGAATCACATCTATCTTTGTTCCTGTCCCATTGAAATAATTAAAAAGAGGCTCAGTTTATGAAAAAGGCCTTAGATGAATCCAATTCCTATTGACATCTTTACTTGGATAGGAAAAACAAATTAATACAAAAACTATAAACAGGGATGAAATTATTTAAAAAAAAAGTTTTCATTTTATTTTGGAAATAAAAGAGAATGCAAATACAAATGGGCTACTTCTATATTTAGCCCACTATGAACTTTTCATCTTGGAATTAATAGCCCTTCATACTGAAGATTTAAAGACAAGCAAACCCACCTTAAGCTTTCTTAGGTCTCTTCATTTATCAGGCTTCAAAACTTGCCTTATTTTGTAACTAAATGAGCTTCTCTGGGAAGCATATGAATAATGCAAAAATATACTTCTAAACAAATGCTACACAAATACATAATTGTCACAATGGGAACCAAAAACATTCATACAATGATTTTTTTTTAAATAACTTAAAATTAGAAATGACACGTACACCTTAAAAGACAGAACACTAAACCAGAGCAAATATTGCCAGTGATAGAAACACCAATGTCCACGAGTAACACAGAAATAAGAACTGAATAGAGGCAGATGCTGTTAGAACACATTTCCATCCATCGTGACTTGTAACATTTTGTGGCCTCTGTGAAGCCCTGGTCCCACCAGGCCAAACATCTGGCTAAGTAGATACAGACATGTGACCTACAAAACATCAAACTCACTTGCTAATAAAGTATACAATGCCCTGTGCTGCTTGATTGCTCTTGACTGCTTGGTTTTTAAAATCAAGTTCACTTCTGAATCAAAAAAAAGTCATCCTTAAATTAGCTGTCATAAATAATCCATGAAATAAACTTTTCTGGTCCTATGAATAGTTATCATGTTACTCCAGGAACACAAGGTATTAGTCCAAGTGGCTGCTTTGAAGTCATGAAATGCACATTCATAAATATATGTCTACATTTTTAAAAATCAAATACATCCAGGCAGCTGCTGTGCAGAGTTCTTGGTATAAGAAGAAGCCCTTCAGCAGTGTATTACGAAGTGGTTACTTGAGAACTTGATTCTGGATCTTCCGGCTTTCTGTATTTCTTCATAATACTGACTGTACCATTGGCCAGGAAAACCACAGCAATCAGTGCAAAATAACCAGCATAAATCAAGAACTAGAAGGGGGAAAAACAGTTTATGGAATTATCAATTACAAGATGGTTACTCTATAATAAAGTATATTCAGAATTTGTCCATAAAGCCTCAAAAAACATTGCATACTTACACCATGTGCTAGACCCTGAAGACACAAAGCAGCAGCACTGCATGGTGGTACTAAATAAGGCCTGACTGCCTGAGTGTGAATCCTGACTTCATCCCTTACAAGCTTTGTGAACTTGATTGAGATACTTCATCTCTGAGCCCTGATTTGTTCACTTACAAAATGGAATTCATAATATTTCTCACTTTACAGGGTTGTTGGGAGGAGTCAGTGAGATCATAAATGCTTATTAGCACAATGCTAATGCTGTTAGTACTACTTTTATTGTTGCTGTTATTGTGATAATTCAGTCCTGGTCTCTACCTTCAAGCTGATAAGTAGGTACAAACAGGCCAAGTTCTGAAGATCAAAAACTTCTCTATTCTTCCCCAGAAGAGGGCAGTAGAGGGTCAATTATATTCCATTATAGGATTACTTTTTATAAGAACTCTTCTCTTGTCAATTTTTTCTTGTAACTTTAAGTTCTGGGATACATGTGCAGAACGTGCAGATCTGTTACATAGGTATACGTGTGCCATAGTGGTTTGCTGCACCTATCAACCCATCATCTAGGTCATCTAGGTTGTAAGCCCCGCCCACATGCATTAGGTATTTATCCTAATGCTTTCCCTCCCCTTGACCCCCACCTCCCAACAGGACCCAGTACGTGTTGTTCCCCTGCTGTGTCCATGTGTTCTGCGGTGTTTGGTTTTCTGTTCCTGTTAGTTTGCTGAGATGATGCCCTAAGCCAAATTTTAATGTGACTATATGGTTTATTAACATCATCTTCTTAAAATAACATACTAAATACTCATAAACTGGTTCAAAAGTACAATAAGACTATAGCCTTAAATCACGGAGCAGTTTCTTTCAACATTGGCTACACTTCTGCAGGAAGCCATTAATCAAGCATGGCAGTTAGGGTTTCGGCACCACCCATAAAATCCTATTATTCTACATGTTTAAATCCACCATTTCTATAAGAATCTGCTGACAAATTTCCACTTCAAATGACAGCCATGTTTCCCTCAACTGTAATAGTCCTGGGAACTCTCCCTTATACAGGGAGGATGGCAGGCACTTAAGTTTCTCTCCTACTTTCCATCCTGAAATAAGTTTGGGGTCAGATGTTGGTTTAACTCCTAGCTCTGGAACACTATTACTAATGGTACTGGACAAGTCAGTTAACATCTCTCAGACTCATCTTCTTCACGTCTAAGACAGCAACCCTGCAAATCTTATATAAAGCACTTGACACATAGAAGGCACTGAATGCACACTGTCTATTATTACTACTTCTCTCTTATATCTCGTTAGTAAAAACAAAGATAATTATGGCTAACACATTGGGAAGAAATCAGTTGGGTTGGAATGGGGGTGGGGGTAAGCACTTCTTGATTCATTCAGTTGCCCATTTTGCCAAAGTACAGAACAGGATGTACCTAAAACTCACAATGCATGAAGGAATACACAATTCCTGAATGTAAAAAAGTATTCACATTGTTTTTGGGTGTTGGTGCAAGTTTCTCAATAGGTCATATATTACAAATCATAATGCTGTTCAACAGCAAGGCATTACCTTGGTATTTGGGTGAAGGGTGCTTTAAATAAAGAAGTAAGGAGACCTAAAGAGTTGTGAGATGAAGCAGGGAATCTCAAACATGGGATACAGTATTCCAAGCATAGATTTAAGTATAGAGAGAAATAATGGATGAGGAAGCAGAAGGTCTTGGCAGGTAAGAAATCAATATTACCTCTCAGCTGAAATAGCACCACTGGGCTGATGAGTTACACTCAGGAATGTTCTAAGACCTCATAAAAAAGATGACAATCCCAACACCATCCAGGGAGAAAAGAACTAAGGATGCAGGAGAGGTGTTGAATGAAGGAGAGTACACTTTTACTTTACATCTGTTCCCTATTGTTTGAATTTGTTTTCATTAAGCATACATCTACTTCTGTTACCCTGATCAAGTCACACATACTACCTTCAATGCCAAAAGAGAGCTCTTACCTGAGTGGTAATTTCTAATCCAAGGCCACTGGCATCTACCACAATTAGAGTGAGCAGCGTCTGCAGTGCCAGGGCAATGAAGGTATTTACGCCAAATACTAGGGCATAGCGTTCCATGCTGAGGTTTGCAGCAATTTGAAAACTTAAAAAAATAAAAGAAGGGTGAATAGATAAGAATTACTTCCTGAGTACTTAAAATTTTTATTCTAAATAAAAGTAAAAATTTTTACTTTAAATGCGAAGAGTCCTTCTTTCTACTGTCAATTGCCTTTCCAACCAAATGAAAACATTTTGCTACTAAATGATATAAATCTCATGCAAACATCTGAAAACAGTAGGAACATACAAACAAGGGAACAAACAAATCTTGCCTAAATGCCTCAGGAGAAAAACTGATAATACACATATAATACACAATGCTTCCTCCCATTTGCCTCATTTAACTAGAAACTTTAATATTTTGGTTTGTAAAGAAACCAAAAAATATATCCTGTTACAATTTTTCCTAAGGCTTCTATGAGCCAAAATACATACGTTGCTATCGTGATGAGTAACATGTAGATGATTCTGAAGACAACATAGGATGCATAGCACACCCAAATGTTACCCACAGTGTCCATGATATACACTGCAGCAGCAATCAGGAGAGAAAAGAGAGATAACATCATTTCTCCCCAAGTTGACCAGGATATTTTTATGTAACCAACAGCAAACACAGCAACAGCACCTACAAAACAAACAAAAATCCAGTTATTTTGCTAAACAAACACTATTGCAATAAATTAAAAACTCAGCTTAGATAATTAAATTTTAAAATCTGCAAACTTATAAATAGGATAGCTCAAGATTATGGGACATTTTGAAACACACACAGAGATTTCTGAACTTGATGGAATCAATAAAATGGGGCCACTGAGATGAGAGACCAAATTAGGAGAGGTGGCAATGAGATGAAAATGCAGGACAAAGACACAGGGACATTGCTAAGGAAAAAAATACTGCAGCTGAAGCAGAGACAAGAGTCAAAAAGAACCACGGCTTCTAGTTTGCCAACATGGCAGGATGAGTCATCTCTCTTTCAAACCAAGGAGCAGTCTAGAACATGGCAAAAGGGCTTCTCTGTTTTGGTGAAACAGTGATGATGATAAGGATAGCTATAATCTATAAAGTGTTTTCTGAGTGCCAAGACAGTTAATAAGTGTTTACAGAAATCATATAAAACCATGCAACAACCTCAGGAGGTAGGTCAACAAATTAGAAATGAACAATAGAATGAGATGGTCAAATACACAGGCTCTGAAGCCAGCCTGCCTGAGTTCAAATCTTGACTTTACTACTTACATGCTATATGACCTACAGCAAGTTATTAACCTACTTGTCCCAAGTTTTCATTGCAAAATGGGGATAAATTCCACCTATCTCAGGAATTTTGTGAGGACTGAGTTAATGTATATAACGTCCTTAGCACCTAGCACATATTAACATTCAATAAATATTAGATATTATTATTATAAACTACTGTATATTGCTATTCAAAATTTCACATCAAGTGACAAAACTACCAAGTAAATACAGAGATAATGGAAACTTGGATAAACAATTTTGAAAATTATTATACTAGGTTTCTCCAAAGCTTATTAAAAAATTCCAGTTTCTTAGTTATAGTCCTGCTCTGCTTGAGTACTTCTAAGTTGTCCTCCTAAATTGTAAAATCAGAGCTCAAAATAAGCAAATCATTTTTTGAGACTATTTCAAATTTGGAAGGGGTAAGTAATCTGATTATGGCTGGCTTAGCTACCAGAGGAATCCCTTCCCCACCACCCTCTATCATCCTGTATTGCTTACCCAGTAAGGTTGAGACGGCCTCTACACCGCCATTATAGATAGCAGCATAGCGGGAAGGCATCACTTTCTCCCACAGGCCCTGTGTGTAGTTCACAACTTGAAAATAGCCACAGGTAGACAGGGCCCACCACACAGACCAACAGAGTAGAGGGCGAGAGGAGTAGCATATCAGGAAATCATTCCACAGTACTTTCAACACAAGGAGACGGTCTGGCTTGGGTTCCTACATAGCAAAAGGAAACAATGCTCAAACTCCAACTAAGGCAATTATACAGAAATCAATTTACTAGAAAAATATGTTCTCATAGGATTTTTGCTTTAAATGTACTATACCATCAACACAGCTGTATGTAATCAACCCAGCAAAAGATGCACTGTTTACAAAATGAACATGATGAAAAGAGATTGCCGGCTTCAGCCAATGGGTGTCTATAATCCACATCTCCCATACACTGGCAAACAACAATAATAATAACAAGCAGCAGACTGGCAACCCTATAAATCACTATTCAGTTAGGCTGCCTATCCTTATAATATAGCTTTCTGTAATGTTTAATTTAAAAAAATAAGTATATGCCAGGGACAGTGGTTCACATTTGTAATCTCCACACTTCAGGAGACTGAGGCAGAAGAACTGCTTGAGCCTAGAAGTTCAAGATCAAGCTGGGCAACAAAGTAAGATCCTGTCTCCACACACACACAAAATGTCAATTAGCTGGGTGCAGTGGTATACACATGTAGTCCCTGCTACTCAGGAGACTGAGGTGGGAGAATCACTTGAGCCTAGAAGATCAAGGCTGCAGTAAGCTGTGATCATGCCACTGCATTCCAACCTGGATGACACAGTGAGACTCTGTCTCAAAAAAAAACCCAAAACCCATATATATATACATATGTTTATATATTTAATATATATTTTATAAAATTTATTTTATAAATATATGTATATAAAATATATATTATATATTTATATATAAATGATATGTATCATTTTTATAAAATTAGTACCGATATTTTCTCCTCTTATATACAGTAACAGTGAACATCAACATTAGGTAAATAAAAGCCATTTTCTCCCTCAAAGGCTAGAAAACCTCACTGGACTGAGAATCAAGTTTCGTCATTGTTCTATCTTCTCATACCGCCCCAAAGCAACCCCAGTGCGGTGGTTCCTTCTTTGTGCTGTTTACCCCAGAGGGGGATATCCTTCAAGTACCAGTACTACAGCCCCCTTCCAAAACTCATGGAGGAATACTGAAGTTAACCAAGATAACTCAGAGAATTACTGACACTTGAAAATTCTACTTGATGAATTTGCATATGATAATCACCTCGAAGTACAAAATACTGCTGTTATGAGACTGATTTCTTGGCATTGTTTATGAGCAAACCTTGTGAATTTAAACAAATCACAAGACAATTGTTAATCATATCTAATGTATATAAATTTGCTGAGAGTAAGTGAATGGTACCAAGCATATTTTCTGAAGTCTTTATTAAAGATCCACCAATTTTATTGAACTACATCAGAATTTTACCATTTAGTTTCAGTTGCTTAATCAATAAAACTTGGGAAGCATCTGTGATACCTAAAACTTTCAGGGATGCTGGATGGATTATAAGAAAGTATATTCTTGGAAGAATGGAACTATTAAAAGAATTCACAAGTTTCTATTCAAAATCTTAACTAATAAGAAGCCCTTAGTTTCCTCCTCTAAAAAATGGAAATAACAATAATACCTATCCACACAAGATTATACAGAGTTAAACTAGATAATGCATGTATTTATTATAGAGGTGCTCAGTTAATGTTATTTTCATTGCATAGCCTAAAAAGTCATGGCATACATAAAATAATGCCCAGTATAAACAGCATTGAGAATTTTCGATTACATAATAATGAATTCTGCCACACAGAAGTTAAGAACTGCTCAATCTGTTATCTGGCCATGCCAAAAAAAAAGGTGGCAGGTCCTCTTTATAAAATCAGCATTTCTTGCTATAATCTGCTGGCTTCCTTCTATGCTGTTTTCTAGGCTTCATATGTTAAGCTTATATGAATCGCACTTTCTAAAGAAGCATTTGACATGTTATCTTTTATGTTTCTTGTTAAATTACATCTACAAAGGTTTATTTCCAGTATATCAAAACTCCCAGCTGCTCATAGCTGAGCATGCATGCTCTAATTTAATAAGTGGCTTTCATTGTGTTCCATGGAGCTTTAAGAGTTTCAAGTGAGATAAAGAACAGGATCAAGTTCATAAAATTATCAGAGCTGCATTCCTGTTTCAACCAGAAAGACTCAATTTTTATTTCTTTATCACAATGGGCGTCTAGTTTCAGATTTCATTTGAATATAAGACTTTGATGCTGTTCTGTAATTTTTAATAACTTGAACAATTATTTCCCTCTATCGAGGAATGGAAGTCTCTACTGTAGTGGTTTTTGGAGTCAACTCTATCTGAATTAATTTTTTTTTTTGAGACAGAGTCTTTGTCTGTTGCCCAGGCTGGAGTGCAGTAGTAGCACCATCTCAGCTCACTGTAACCTCTATCTCCCGGGTTCAAGCAATTCTCCTGCCTCAGCCTCCCCAGTAGTTGGGATTACAGGCATAGGCCACCACACCCAGCTAATTTTTGTATTTTTTTTAAGTAGATATGTTTCACTATGTTGGCCAGGCTGGTCTCAAACTCCTGACCTCAAGTGATCTGCCCGCCTCAACCTCCCAAAGTGCTGAGATTACAGGTGCTTTGCCTGAGTTGGAAATTTTTAAAGTGCAGCTTCCTATGTGCCTTTGCACAAGTCACTTAACTAAATTTAGTTTCCTCTTCTGTAAAATGGGCAAATATCTACATCACAGAGTTTTAATAAGAATCAAATAATATACTAACTCTAAGGTTCTTAGCACAGTATCTGACATTCAAGTCAAAATAAATGGGAGGTGTGATGATAATGATGATGACTGACGATGATGATGACGAACATGATTGGGGTAATTAATTCAAAGAGAAAAGGAAAGATCATTTACAACCTCACACATACATGACATAAAGGTGCAAAGCTGTTCTGGATTATTCCTATCTAATGATAATGATAATAGTAATAACAGCAATTACCATTTATTGAATACCTACTGTGTAAACTCATTTGAAAGCTTTAAATACTCAAAATAACCCTATAAGGTAGATATGTAGATAAGGAAACTAAATCTCACAGAATTAACTTGCTCACGTATTATAACTAGGGTTTGGACTTCATTTTCTTCATAACTCACTACACCCTACTGCTAGAAATGACCTGTCAGCCAAGTACATAATGAATCCAGCTCTGCTTGTGAAAGAAAGTCACCAGCTTTGGTGGTTATTCTTTCTGCAAGGTTAGCACCCTTTGTCCCAATGCAATAGGCTGTCTTTGAAAAGAACTGACAAATACTCTAAGGCAATTTGTAAAGTGGGCTATCACTTAGACTCCTCCTACTTCATTTTCTTTTTCTATAAAAATCAAGATAAAACCACCTACTTACCAACTCTTCAATAATTACCACAATTATAATTTATGGTTTAATTACAGGTTTTGTCAACTTAAAATGGCTCTGCCATCCCTAATATCCATATTCTGAATTTCCTTTACCCTTTCCAAAGAAAAACAGCAGCATTTTAGGGCTAGTCAGTGCAGACACCAAGTAGCACTGCCCACGTGCTATGATATCAGCAGTAAGCCTAGGATATCAGGGAACTGACTTGAATCCTAATTTTGAAAACTGTGTAACTGACATGACTCTGACATTGTTACCCTAGTTAAAAGACTTCATGAAGAAAGGTTTAGAGAGAACTGGATCTCGTATACACTTTAAAATTATGTTCAGGAGTATATATGGCAATTCTGCATACGTCGCTAATCTCTGATCATAATCCTTATCTCTAAAACAGTCTTGATGAAATCTAATCTATTTTAATTTTTAAATGCTCTGATATTACAACCTGTGATTAGAATTGTTTCTAACTCTAAAATTCTATAATTCTTCAGTATATAAAATACTGACACTGCGTATCTATAAACAATTATTTCAATTTGATCTAGGAGAGAGTTTTTTTTAACTACAGGTCACCACTCATTAGTTGGTAATAAAATTGATTTAGAAGACAGTTAACTGAATTTTAAAAAATAAAAGAATGTATCAGAAAATATTGTGTTGTAAAACTTTTCTGTTATATATAAAATGTATACATATCTATGTATGTACAGATTTTCTATGTAAAATGTGTTTTCTTACTGTGTTTCTTATCTATATTCAAAAAAGTTTATAACTGTCTATAAAAATTTTTAGAACTATGGTCAATAGGTTAAAATCTAAAATATATATTTATACACACATTATATGTATATATGTTAATTTTAGCTAAAGCCGCTGTAACACATTCAAAATAGATTTAAAAAGGGTCTTTTTTGCCACGTCATGAAATCTATGAAGTGATTATACCTCCTTCCCTCCCCCATCAACCCTCTGTTATTCTCCAACATCATCTAACAAACTATGAAGAAATCAGCATTTCATTGCCACTAAATCCTTGGTCATTCTGACAAAAACTGCTCATAGGTGCCCTGATAATCAAGGTGAGTTTCATGATGAGAGTCGCCCAGGCTCTAGAAGTTTACCCAGTCTCTTTGAGATGATAACCTAAATTTCAAGTAGTAATTTGAGAGCTGAAGAATGGGGATAGAGAAAAGAGTAATTTTCAATGAGGACATTAGATGCCACATTGGAACAATTTAATTTACTCTCAATAGAGAATGAAAGACTTTATTCACAATGGTTCTTTATTATCAGCCAGCCTACAAAAATTATGGAGCTCAGTCTGACTGAGGCCACCTACAAAGCTGGAATGTTAATAGGCTTATTTCCAAACATGTCCCAGGAAAACTAAGACTACAGTGTGGCTGGAATTAACTTTATTCCTCACAGCTTATAACCTGATAGAAACAAAAATCTTGTATATTTATTAGAAAAAAAAAGGGTGGGTATCTAGGGGAAAGAATTCATCTTCCTGGCTAGACAGAACAGATGGATAAATTATTATAATGCCATACCTCTATCTTCCAAGAGGCAGCTTCATAACATACTTTTAGTATTTATTCCATCATCACCTCAAACTGTCCCCTTGTGATCTCTTCATCTGTAGTGTTCATTACTACCTCACTTCAGCAAATTGTCATTTGAAAAATAAATAACAGATATCCCTTCTAGCATGGAAGAGGAAAATAATTTCCTACCCTTAAATAGTTTGAGCTTCACGGCTGGGCAGTGGCTCACGCCTGTAATCCCAGCACTTTGGGAGGCTGAGGTGGGTGGATTGCTTGAGGTCAGGAGTTCGAGACCAGCCTGGCCAATATGGTATAACCCCATCTCTACTAAAACACAAAAATTGGCCGGGCTTAGTGGCAGGTACCTGTAATCCCAGCTACCAGGGAGTTTAAGCAGGAGAATCGCTTAAACCCCAGAGGCAGAGGCTGCAGTGAACTGGGATTGTGCCACTGCACTCCAGCCTGGTGAAAGAGCAAGACTCCATCTCAAAAAAATAAATAAATAAAATAAACTTTGGGTTTCAATTTAGAAATTAGAAGTAGATATTAACCATTTATTAAGAGCCTTTCATCTACTCATTTAGCAAACATTTTCTGAGTGCCTAATTTATATACCAAACACCCAAAAGATGAAGACACAGCCCTTGCAATCCAAGACATCTTTGACATGAACAATATAATGCTGTATCAGTCTGACTTTGGAGGTCATGCACTCCAGGGGAAAATAAATTTGTTGTCCCTAATATAAATAAACCATAGCTTGATGAATGAATGAATGAATGAATAAAGCAATGAACCAACTCAGGATAAAACATGAATCCAAATGAATACAAGATCTACCAAGAGGGAGTTTGCTGATTTTTTCACCATTGGTCCAGTCCCCAAAGTAGCAATTACAACATATTTAAGGCTGAGCTTACCGGTTCCTCCATGGGAGGCTCCTCCATATTTAGAGGGATTTTTGACTCAATATCCTCCCATCCAGGAAGGTGGTTGGAAGCTGTGGTGTCGGTAACAATGCCACCATTTTGTACCTTGATGCCATTCACTCTCTGGCAGGTAGAAGCGATGTGGTGAAAGAAGAGGCTCTTCTGTGGCATAGGTAAAAACCAGGCCACAGCAAAAGCCACTGAAACACAGGTAAGAGAGATGACATTCAGGCTGAACAGGGACCAGCCTGCCACTGAGACAAGGATTTGCCCCAGGACAGAGCCCACTGTAAAGCCCACCAAAGTGGCACTTCGACAGTAACTTGTGACTTTCTGGTACATGCCCAGGTCTACTACACTGTAGATGTAAGAGTAATAGGCAATTTCAGTGGCTGTGGCAATGCCATAAAAAAATTCTAGGAATTGAATGGCCAACAGTCCCTGGGCATAGAGCAGCATAAACCATGTAACAATAAGGCTAAGCCCCTGCAGTAGGACAACAGGTTTATAACGGAGGTAGTCTGTGGCAAGGAACACAGGAAACAGCAGCACCAGGTAAGAGTAAGTCCATACTGGATAAATTTCATTGAAGACCTGGTAGAAAGAGAACAAAACCCCATTAGTGATCAAAGGACCTGGAATAGTCATAAGAATTTATTCTTGCAAAACAACTTACAAATACCTCAAAGGTCTCATCCTTATGAATCAAAGAAACCTTAACAACAATAGTTCAGATAATTGTTTGAAAATATCTTTTTTCTTTCTTTTTTTTGAGATGGAGTCTTGCTCTGAACCCAGGCTGGAATACAGTGGTGTGATCTTGGCTCACTGCAATCTCCACTTCCCTGGTTCCACTATTCTCCTGCCTCAGCATCCCAAGTAGCTGAGATTACAGGTACCCACCATCATGCCTGGCTAATTTTTGTATTTTTAGTAGAGATGAGGTTTCACCATGTTGGCCAGGCTGGTCTCAAACTCCTGAGCTCAAATGATCCACTCGCCTCGGCCTCCCAAAGTGCTGGGATTATAGGCATGTGAGCCATCTTACCTAGCCTCAAACTCTCTTGATACTTGTATCGTCAGTTTCCCCAATTAACTCATAAAACCGGCTCTTCACCATGGGGGCATCTCCTAAGAAGCTTTTAAAAATTTGTTAGCCAATTGGGCATGGTGGCTCATCCCTGTAATCCCAGCACTTTGGGAGGCCAAGGCGGGCGGATCACCTGAGGTCAGGAGTTCGAGACCAGCCTGACAAACATGGAGAAACTCCGTCTCCACTAAAACTACAAAATTAGCCAGGCATGGTGGCACATGCCTATAATCCCAGCTACTTGGGAGGCTGAGGCATGAGAATCACTTGAAGCCAGGAAGCAGAGGTTGCAGTGAGCTGAGATTGCGCCATTGCACTCTAGCCTGGTAACAAGAGCAAAATTCCATCTCAAAAAAAAAATTGTTAGCCAACTTGGTGGCACGTGCCTATAGTTGCTACTCTGGAGGCTGAAGTGGGAGAATTGCTTGAGCCCATGAGTTTGAGGATCACACCACTACACTCCAGCCTGTATGGCAAGCAAAACTCTGTCCCTTAAAAAAACAAAAACAAACAAAAAAAGATGCCAAGATGCCCAGCCATAGATATTTTTTAAAAACTTCCCAGTAGATTTTTAAATGAGCCAGAGTTGAGAACAACTACCTTACAGGCTTTTTAAGGATAGACCCTACATTCACCTGTATAACCTGTCTAAAAGCCAGCATACTGTTTGGAAGATACTAGTTTCAATAAATGCTTTGAGAATGGAATCACTATCAATTCTTACTTTTAGATACAGGATAGGGGGCCTTTACCCTACTATGTCAATAAGCTTCTCTGATTTTAAGTTTTGTTTCTTTTGCAGCAGAAGAACAAATAAAGATGGTCAATCTGTCCTATAGTCTTGACAGAATTAACTCTCTAGATGGCAGGATTTTAGGCAACTTTTATGTCCTTCTTTTTGCTTGTTTGTAAATAGAAAAAAAATAGAAGTGTTTGCTGTTTTCATTTTAGTGCATATTTTAAAATTTGGATAGAGTAGGAAATAATCTTTGAATTAAACTTTAAACCCCAACAGGAATTTCAGTTCCATCACTTGCTGTGTGATTATGGACAAGATTCTTTAGTTCCCCTTAGCCTTAATCTTCATTATCAGTAAAGGAGGGTTGTTTGTTGCAAAAATTAAATGAGAGACAATATGGAAGTATTTGCTCCACCTGATTTATTCACAAAGTCTGAAGACTAGAGGACAAGCTGACAAGGACATCTGAGGCAGTATGGATTTACTAAATTAATTGAACAATCATCTCCATTCTTCCAATAACAATCACTGTAGGAGATTTTTCCTTCCTTTTATCAGTGGCCTTAACTTTTAAGTGCTTTTTGGAAAGTATTTTTGGTAAAAGGCTGAATACTTTGTGATGGAGCAACCTAATCCTAGACTTTCATATTCTGAGACCAATAGTAACTTTCTTTTTACATCTCCTGTATATCTTAGTTCACTCAAGTCTAATATGAGCTAACTGTTCCAAGGTTTTAGAGGCACAATAAACAATTGTTGCAAAATCTCTTGCCAATGCAGAGCACAGCTATAAAAGTAAAACATAATCCCCATTTTCTGAAATACATTCCAGACTTGATTTCTGACTATGTAGCAAAAGTGATGTTTAATGGCCTCACCTTCATGAAGTTGGTCTAATTTGTGTTGGTAAACAGTTAGCAAGCTCTGCTTGATCAAGAAATTTTGTTGCACCTGACTATGGGCCTAAAAGAATCATCAAGAACTGTCAAAACGATTCTTATTCAAAACTGGAAATTTTAGCAAATGAAGAACAAAGTGGCCTTGGCCACATTAGGTAACTCTAAGTAGAAAAACAAAACAGGCAAGGGTAATCTTGAGATTTCACAGTTGTGTTCTAATTAACAATTTGCCATTCCTTTGTGGCCTATACTTTTACAGATACTCTGTCAGTTTTTTGTTTTGCTTTTGTTTTTTTGAGACAGAATTTCACTCTTGTCACCCAGGCTGGAGTGCAATGGTGCAATCTCAGCTCACTGCAACCTCCACCTCCTGGGTTCAAGTGATTCTCTGGCCGCAGCCTCCTGAGTAACTGGAATTACAGGCATGCGCACCACACCTGGGTAATTTTTTGTAATTTTAGTAGAGACAAGGTTTCACTATGTTGGCCAGGCTAGTCTCAAACTCCTGACCTTGTGATCCACCCGCCTCGGCCTCCCAAAGTGCTGGGATTACAAGCGTGAGCCACCACGCCCAGCCTGTCAGTTTTCTAAAGTTTGAAACTACCTCCTCTGCTTGACTAAACATCGCCTTCCCATTTTCCCCAACATAGCACCATGAAGCTACTAGCCATCAAACCTTTTCTTTAAAAATGTTCTCTACTGCTCCCTTCAATAGCTCATCTTCTTTTGTTTTGGGATTTTGGATGACCTCTTCACTCCAATAATATTGTCTGTGTTTAGACATGTTACATAACTTTTAACAACAGTTGTCCCAAAATGATTAACTGCTAAGTTTTCATTGTCTAAGTTTCATCCTTTAAATTATCAATTTAAAGTATCTTTACTCAGGAGTCTAATTCTACAAATACAAAACTACAATTTAGATAGTGAAGATGGACAGTAACACTGCCAGCCTTGCAGTAACAACTAAAAACAAAAAGAAAGGCAAGTAGGGGAGAGTGGAAAGACGAGATAGGTTCTCTTTAATTTATTCTAAATAAGAAACCTGCATTTTCTCCTTTAAGAGACATCCACGCAGGATGAATGCCCCTCTCACGCTATTATCAGCATCATAACAAACCTCTACTGCTGTGCTACACAACATGCTAAGCACTTTATCTAAATTCTATTTAATCCAAACCACAAACCTAAGGTAAATGCTTCTATCATCTACTTTACAAACAAGGAAAGTTGGCCTTAAAGAAAGGCGGGTGTTGAACAATGAGAACACATGGACACAGGGAGGGGAGCACTACACACTTGGGTCTGTTGGGGGAATATAGGGGAGGGACAGTGGGGGGTGGGGAGCTGGGGAGAGATAGCATTCCAGATATAGGTGATGGGGAGGAAGGCAGCAAATCACATTGCCACATGTGTACCTATGCAGCAATCTTGCATGTTCTTCACATGTACCCCAAAACCTAAAATGCAATAAAATAAATTTAAAAAAAAAAAAAGGAAGAAAGGTTAGGTGAATTGTCCAAAGTTATCACAGTTAGGATTGGCAAAGTAAGGATCTGAATTCATGTGTGCTGAATCCACCACACTAAAATGCCTGGTTTCTTCAATCAGAAAACAGCTATTAATCATCTACTACCTTTCAAGGTTAATTCTAATACCTGGAGTAGCTTTTCCAATCTGCACTGAGGTGCTTTTACAGGGCATCCATGAAGAGATAAAGGCCAGAGTCTCCACTACTTAACTAATGGGTCTCCAAAGGAGATCCTTTTCTCTTTCCATGTTTCCAATGGCAGTAGAAAATGCTTCCTTGATATTTTGGAATCTTGAAGGGAAATATCCTACAGGCAAAAGTGTACCAATTGCAGACCCTTATTAATTGTCCATACTCCAGCTTGTCACTTCAGGTAACATCTGCCATGTGAGCAAAGGGATTGATTATAACCAAGGTGCCTTCATAACTCCTTGGATCAGTGCTTGTTCATGCTTTCTTGAGATACAAAGTCAAGGGAAAACAGATGTTCATTTTTAAGTTCTAATTTAGACTTTAAATTAGAATCAAGTTTCAGTTAAACAACTAATGGGCACTTATTTGCACAACATTGTTTTCAACCAGCATAGAGGTAACAAAAAGAATAAGATGAGGCTGGGCACTGTGGCTAACACCTGTAATCCTAGCACTTTGGGAGGCCGAGGCGAGCAGATCACTTAAGGCCAGGGGTTCAAGACGAGCCTGGCCCACATGGCAAAATGCCATCTGTACCAAAAATATAAAAAAGTAGCTGGGTGTGGTGGCACAAGCCTGTAATCCCAGCTACTCAGGAAACTGAGGCATGAGAATGGCTTGAACTTGGGAGGCAGAGGTTGCAGTGAACCAAGATAGCACCACTGCACTCCAGCCTGGGCAACAGAGCAAGCCTGACTCTAAACAAATTGAGATCTTCAGCTCTCCAGGGGTTCTGAACCTAGTGAGGAATAAATAATATACACAGTATTTATAATGGAAATGAAAATATAGGATTGTTTCTTCAAGAAGGACCTTAAAGGATGAGAAAGCTAAAGGCTAACAAAGATATCAACAGATATATATGGAAAGATTATTCCAAGAAGAGAGTAAGTCTTTGAGAACAGGTCAACAGATGACAGACTGTAGATATGCTGGACTTAAGACTATTAGATTAATATGAATGGAGCTTGGGTATGTGGAAGTGGTTAATAACATCTGACTTGTTCATCCAATTGGGATTGTGTTAAAGTTATAGATTAACTTCAGGAAAATGACATTTTTATGATGCTTTTTTTCTCATCCAAGGACATAGTATGTCTGACCATTTTTTCAGACCTTGTTTTATGGGTATGTAGAAGTGGTAAGGGGAAGAAGGGTTGTAATAGGAGATAAGGCTGTTCAAGGAGGTAAAAATCAAGTAAGGCTCGGAATATTAGGCAGAATACGTGGAATGTTTTAAAAAATCTAAGAGAGGTAGTAAATAGCTGTCAAACCACATGTTACAATGATGAAAAAATAAAAAATGTTTTTAGAGATAAAGATCTGTTTTATTGAAAGTCTGGTCTTCAACTATTAATATACAGTCAAATTTTAGCCACTTAAAACTTACAAACTGGTTTCTGTTTTAAAGTTAATGCTTTTCCTAAAATCTAAGAAAAAATCTTTTGAGAGTAGAGAGAAGAAATTCTTTTTCCCCCTCCTCTCCTTTTGTTTTAGGATTTATTCAAACCAACTTGGCCTTCTGCAGTCTTCTAGGGGCAACTACAAACTTGTCACTGAATATGACTTAACATTATCTTTGTTTAAAAATCATGTAATATTTTTTATTTAACTGTCCATTGCAAAAAGCAAGCACTCAGTAAGTAATGAATAAGTTGTTCTATTTATTTCAATTATTAGTTATACAAAAAACATAGTTTGTCACAAGGCAAGCAGAGGAGAATCAGCCGTGATTTGGTGGTTCTTAGAGAAGACATCCCTTCCTCAGACTACTAGATTTCTCTCCAAATCCCACCCTTCTCCTAATCTAATTTGCAATAACAGAGGTATGCTTATGTTTTTGTTACACAATCAGCGAATATTTACTGCACCTGGCATCTCTGCTTTATTTTTGTGCCCCTGAATATATTTCACTCACCCTGAAAAGCTTTCTGATAGGACAGAGCACATGATCTTGATAACACATCACACAGCAACCTTCTACCCAGGGCACATGACAAAACAGATCAGCTTTCAAATATCAACACTGGGAACATGTTTCTCTCCCTGTGTTTCACTATCAGGAAAGGTGCACGAACTGTGCAGATCACATGGCAGTTCACATGAAACTTTAGTTGTCAGCTGTTCACAGCAGTATCAATTCTGCCTCAGTGGCTATGCCTCAGATTCAGTGGTTGTTTTGGGTTTCCAGAATCAAGAATCATATTTTCTCATCAGTGCAGTAATTTCCTTGTAAAATCATTCTGTTCACAAAAGTTGGCCCTTTTGACTTTATTATTGTTTAAAATCAGTATTAAAATTCAAATAGGTAATGAGTAACTGTTAGAGTCCCTTATGTACTGATCCACAAGACTGAGAAACGGCTCAGCCACTCCACCCCACAATGGGCAGGTCAATAGGGTAATTTAAGGCTAAGCAAAAAGTCAGTGATACTTGCTAGAGGTGAACCAATGTCACACTCTCAAGTGAAACCCTCAATTCAGAAATCAATCCTAATTCTTAAATTTCCCCTCAAGTGCTCTTGAAAATGAAGGAGCACTGCAACAACAAACTGGACTATGAGTAATTGTATGTTGCCAGTGTGTAAATGACTGCGGTAGTGCCATCTCTTGTTCTGACCTGTTATGCAGGGTTACTGAGTTCCTACTCGAAGTGACTGACTACTAACTACAACGAGAAGAGTAAGGTTTAAATGGGAGGATTATTTTACAGCAACTGGGGCAAGGGGACAGGACGGAAGGAAAAGAAAGTGTAAGAAAGAAGAAACAGCTAACAAGTGCCCACTCAGCTGCCAGGGAAAAGAACATGAGACCTCAGCTTTCACCACTGTATTCAAGGAAGAAGGTATTGAATCTGCTTTATTTCGGTTTTGTGGAAGTACTTTGGGTTTAATTTCTTTTTCAGTTTATATATTGTCTTCTGCAAAAATCAACTGCTGGTTTTGACCATGCACTTATTTACTTCAGCACCTTTCTAATGTACACTATGCACTTTTGAAGTACTTTAAGTCCTCGTCTAGGGAAAATCAATCAGCAAGAAGCTCTTGATGATGTGCTACGTGCTCTCAATTACCCTGAACACAGAAGCCTTCAAATAAACCACCTTGTATCTGAGAAGCAAAACTAATATTTGTGAAGCAACAATTCACAATACAAGAAAAAATATAATTAAGAGCCAATTATACCATCTGCCTTTGTCCCTGGAGGTGGGGCTTAAGGGAGAGAGGGGCTGGATATCCTTGGACACAACCTCACCCAGTTAAAAATCAAGACAAATTAAGATGTTCTGTACTTCTGTCCTGTCCTTACTTGACTAAGCCCATCCATCTAGCCAAAGGTAAACAAAGCAACGGATGGGCAGGAAGAGGGTGAAACAAGTAGAGGGAAGATCCTTTCAGAAAAGCAGTGATTAACTACTTTGTCAATGAATATTTACTAAGCCATGTCCAAAGTACAGCTTACTGTCTTCACTTCTTTGTCAAAATATTGCCTCCTCGCCCCCAGCAGGAACTGCGGGACCAGTCTGGGCAGAGTCACGAAAAGCCACGTGACGGCAGACTGCCTGAGGCACAAGGCACGGGGCCTCTGGACCTGTTCTGAGCCCTTCGCAGAAGAGGAGCCCTACAAAGCCAAAGAAAACAGGAAACCATGAACACAACGAAGAGCACGAAGTCGACCTACAACTAGAAAAAAATCAGAAATCTCTGCCGAGAATGGCTCGAACGCTTTTCTCAGTCCTCTCTTCCTCTGCCGCCCAGTCGCCCGCCCGACCCGCGCCCTGCGCCCGCCGAGCGTACCTCCCTCTCGGTCAGGTTCTTGTCCGGCCCCAGGAGGTACGGGGTCAGGAAAGGCTCGGACGGCCTGAGACTGGCGAAGAAGCCGTAGGCGCAGAGCAGCGAGGTGGGCAAAAACCAGCACTCGCGAGGGACCCGAGCGGTGCGCAGGAGCACAGTGGCCGCCGCCGCTGCCGCGGCCCGCCGGGACACCGGGCCGGGCACATCCATCCGGGGCGCGAGGGGAGGGGACCCGGCCCGGTCCCTTCCTTCTCCTCCGCCAACTGGAGTGAGGGTCAGGCACTGCCCCAGCGCGGGCACTTGAAACCGCGAGTGACGCCTTCTAAGGCGTCACTTGTAAGGCCAAGCTGTTCTGGATTCGCCGCCACCTCCGGCTACAGGACCCTCACCCTTAACCTGCGGCAGACGCCTCTACGGTCGCCGCCTGACCGGGCTGCCTTAGGAAGACCCGTCCTAAGTCCCACCCTCCGTCACCGCCTCCAGTTTGGGAACCAATCACAGCGGACGCCGGGAATACCTGGCTTCCCTCCCATTGGTTGTGGGTCACATGACGTAAACGGGCGGCGGTCGCAGCACGCCAGGCCGCTGACGTCCCCGGGCTCTGACGCGGGGGACATGTGGGACTCCAGTCCGAAAGCGACGGCTTGTGGCGGAGCGCTAGTCAGGCGGCTAGCTAGCGTTGGTGTCACACTCGCGGTCGGCTCCATCACCTTCGGTGGTGCGGCTCATCCGTCGGGAATGAGCCCTGTGGGCCTAGTCCCCCACTGGAAGAAACGCGCTGTTGTTCCCAACCACCGTTTCTCATTCTTAATCACCGTCCCTCGAATGTCCATTCAGGTTCTGCTCCCGAGAGACAGTGACACCGGCCAGGCAAAGATTTCACCTTGGGGAGCGGGGAATGTTAAACCTTTCCCTCAGCAGCTTTCGTGTTTTAAATTGTAATCATCTGCCGTGGAAAGATGTCAGAGGCCCAGGATCTAAGCGAGAGAACGAAACAAAGAAAGTAGATAATATTATGAGAATAATGAACAAGCTGGTCACTGAACAGCGGAACCGCAATGGAGCCCCAATTAAAGGGTTTTGACTTTATTTCGTCAGTTTTTGCAAGCATGATACAGAGAAAACAACCAACTACGCTGCTGTTTATAGTTAAAAGGAAGGTGGACAATCCTTAGTCATTACAGCAATCGCAAAACATGATCGATTTCTTCATTTAAAAACAAAAAAGAGGTCTTGGCATAGTTTTCAAGGGCAAAGCATGACAAGAATCTCCAGTGCTTTCTTTCATCACCCTCGGTGTGCCTTCTTCTGCCTGACTCATAGCCTGGCTCTGTCCTAATCCTTCCACTGCAAAGATGCAGCATTTAAAGCAGTTATTCCTGTGCAGTATTTGTAGGGTGAAAGATCCTGCCAGAAGCTCATGGAAACATTTTGGAACTATCTTACTTTTTTCTGTATGTTATTATCCATCTAGCACAGTTTTCTTCCTGTGGTAGCAAATGACACTTTTTTCAAGCATCAGCAACAGTAATGAGTCTGCCAGATGGAGCAAGATACTAGTAAAGGGAAAGATTTGTTTCTAAGACTGCACAAATCAATGCACCCAAATTTGTGAGTTAATTAATCTGTGAAGAAATACAATTGGTAGTATTTACTTCTCTCAGTGAATCTCAAAGCGTGGTCCAGGAATGCCTGGGTGTCCTGGGACCCTTTCAGAGGTTCCACAAGTTCGAAACTATTTTCACAATTATGCTGACTTTATTTCCTTTTCCACTCCAGAGGCTATATAATGTGTGATGACATCATCACTCTATAGAATAAGAGAATATGTGCTTGTGTATTCTTGTGTTTTTAAGACTTTCCATGTTTAATTTATTACCATATGACAATTATCAATAGGTATAATCCACAAAACCCAACAGGTTTTTTGGGGCCTCAGTAACAAGGGTCCTAAGACCAAAATGTTTGAGGACTTCTTATTGACATTATTCAATCCCCTAAACGCCAACCTTTTTTTTTTTTTTTTTTTGAAATGAAGTCTCACGCTGTCGCCCAGGCTGGAGTGCAGTGGCACGATCTTGGCTCACTGCAACCTCTGCCTCCCAGGTTCAGGCAATTCTCCTGCCTCAGCCTCCTGAGTAGCTGGGATTAGAGGTGTGTGCCACCATGCCTAGCTAATTTTTTATCTTTAGTAGAGATGAGGTTTCACCACGTTGGTCAGGCTGGTCTCGAACTCCTGACCTCATGATCCACCCACCTCGGCCTCCCAAAGTGCTGAGATTACAGGCATGAGCCACCGCGCCCGGCCACGCCAATCTTTCTTATCAGGACTACAGAGCCAACACAGGTGGTTCTCTTGACAATTGCTCTTCATTTACATTCAGTGCTTTAGTAGAAGAGAAGAAAGAGAAATCAAGCCAGAGAGGCCTCAGAAAGAGAAGTCTACTTATTAAAAACAGCTTTCTTGGCCAGGCACAGTGGCTCACACCTGTAATCCCAGCACTTTGGGAGGCCAAGGCAGGCAGATCACTTGAGGTCAGGAGTCTCAGACCAGCCTGGCCAACATGGTGAAAACCCGTCTCTACTAAAAATGTAAAATTTAGCTGGGCAAGGTGGGATGTGCACCTGTAGTCCCAGCTACTCAGGAGGCAGAGGCAAGCGAATCACTTGAATCCAGGAGGCGGAGGTTGCAGTGAGCGGAGAGCAAGTCTAGTCTCAAAAAAGAAAACAACAACAACAAAAACAGCTTTCCATCCCTTCCCTGAGGCTTGGGGACCTAAACTATGTTAATCTGTAAATCACTGCTTCTGTAACTTTTTCTTGGTATAAATCACACAGGCACCTCGAATCTTCTTTGCAATGAGGTTGCAAATAAATAGTAATTGTCCTTGAATTGGGTAGATGTTTTCTTATTATTTTTGTCTAAGAGGCCATTTCAGTAGGCAGAATTCTAAGAATGCTCCCCAGTGACAGCTGCCTTTGTATAACCCCCACCCATAAAGTGTGAGGTGGAAACTATGAATTTGATGAGGCAATACTCCTGTGATTATGTTACATTTTGACAAATGTGAGATTTTCCAGGTGGGCCCAATCTAATCACAGGAACCTTTAAAAGCAGAGATCTGCCTCCCGCTAATGGCGGAAGAAGAAGTCAGAGAGATTTGAGGGATTTTGACGTGCTCCTGCTGGAGGGGCTACATGCCACGAAATGTGGGCATCTTGTAGCAACTGAGACTGGATCCTGGCTGATAGCCAGCAAGGAATTAGTGTATCACTCCCAGATTCGCAAGAAACTGAATTCTGCTAGAAACCTAAAAGAGGTTGAAAGTAGGATTCTTCCTCCTGAGAAGAGCCTCGCCGAGTCAGCATCTTAATTTTGGCCTGTGAAACCGTAGGCAGAGAACCCATTCAAGCCCACCTGGATCTACAGAACTGTGAGCTAAGCTAATGTGATAATATTTTAAAGCTGCTAAATTTTTGGTCATTTATTTGTTGTGCAGCAATAGGAATTTAACAGAAAGGTAAATCGATATTTTTTTTAATTGAGGCAATATTCACATAAATAAAATTAACCATTAATTATATATTAAGTGCACAACTCAGTGGCATTAGTACATTCATGATATTGTGAAACCGTCACTTCTGTTTAATTCCAAGACATTTTCACCACCCTGTAGGAAACTGGTACCCATTATGCAGTCACTCCTTTTAATGACTGTTTTTAGTCCTCCCCTTAGTCCCTGGCAAACAGTAATGTGCTTTTTGACTCTATGGATTTGTCTTTTCTGGAGGTTACCTATGATTTGTGACCTTTCATGTCTAGCTTCTTTCACTTAGTATAATGTTTTCAAGATTCATCCACATTGTAGCATGTATCAGTACTTCATTCCTTTTTATGGCTAAGTAATATGTGTATATACAATATTTTGTTTATCCATCAATTGATGGATATTTGGATTATTTTCACTTTTGTCTATTGTGAATAGTGCTGCTATGAACATTTCTACACAGGTGTGTATTTAAATATTTGTTTTTATTTCTTTGGGGTAGATACCTAGGAGTAGAATTTTTGTGTCATTTGGTAATTCTGTGTTTAACTATTTGAGAAACTGCCAAACTGTTTTCCACAGGCTGCATGATTTCACATTCTCATAAGCAACATAAAAAAATTCCAATTTCTCCACGTCCTTCCCAACACTCATTTTCCCTTTTACAGTAGCCATCCTGGTGGGTGTGAAGTGGTATCTCATTGTGGTTTTGATTTGTACTTCTCTAATGACTGATGTTGAGCATCTTTTTATGTATTTGTTGACCAATTGTATAACTTCTTTGGAGAAATGTCTATTTAAGTCCTTTGCCCCTCTTTGAGTTTTTTGTCTTTTTGTTGTTGAGTTAGAAGAGTTCTTTATAAATTCTAGATACTAAACTTTGTCAGATATGGTTTGCAAATATATTTTCTTCCATTCAGTAGGGGTAAATAGAATATTGAGGGACTTTTTATCTATTAATATAAAAAAGCATGGAGGGTGTGTTTTGCAAAAAGTAAGATTACACTGTATTATACAACTATGTTGTACACTCTTCTGGCTGTTAGTTTTCTCACTGAAGAATAACTCATGAAGAACATTCCAGGTGTTAAGGTATACCTCTAATTCTTTCTATACCTACATAATATCCTATTGCATGGGTGTGCTGCTTTTCAGCACCTGCTTGTGGCCATTCATTATGTTTCTAGTTTTTGGCCACTGCCAACAATGCTGCAGTTAACATTTTTGTACAATATATGTTTATGTATTTTTAATTTCAATTTAAAAGGATTTATTCACAGGAATAGGATTTCTGGGCTAAAGAGTATATGTGCTTTTAATTTTAATAGATATTGCTCAGTTGTTTTACATTAGTAACTTACATTTTTACTAGCAATATATGAAAACATTCTTTTTGTACCGCATCCTTGATTACGGTTATAATCAGGCTTTCAAGTTTTGTTTATCTAATGGGTATAAATCAGTGGCTCTCAATCTGTAATGATTTTGTCCCACAGTGGACATTTGGCAATGTTTGGAGACATTTTTGATTGTCATGATGGTGGGGGTGGGTACTACTAGCTCCTATGGGCAGAGCCAGGGATTCTGTTAAATATTCTGCAATCCTCAAGTCATCCCCCACAACAAAGAGTAGTAGTCCATCCCAGAATGCCACTAGTGAGGAAGATAAGAAACCATGGTATAAAGATACCTCATTGTGGCCAGGTGTGGTGGCTCACGCCTGTAATCTCAACACTGGGAGGCTGAGGAGGGCGGATCACGAGGTCAAGAGATCGAGACCATTCTGACCAAAATAGTGAAACCCCATCTTTACTAAAAATGCAAAAATTAGCTGGGCGTGGTGGCCCATGCCTGTAGTCCCAACTACTCGGGAGGCTGAGGCAGGAGAATCACTTGAACCCCAGAGGCAAAGGTTACGGTGAACCGAGGTCATACCACTGCACTCCAGTCTGGTGACAGAGCAAGACTGTCTCAAAAAAGCAAAAAACAAAAACAAAAAAGATACCTCACTGTATCTTCAGTTTGAAAATCTTTTCCATATGTTTGTCAGTTACTTGGATTTACTCTTCTGCAAATAGCCTGTTTATATTCTTTGCCCATGTTTTCTTTTGGTGGCTTATCCTTTTTATTAATTCATTTTTAAAAAGCTTTTTATATTTTTTAATCATTTTTATTTGAAAACACTTATTTTTCAAATATACTTTTTATTGACTTTTGTAATATCTTTACTAGATGGTAAAATCTTATTTTAGACTGTAAAACAAGATCTGAAAAAATTGTCAGACATACTATGTCCTTGGATAAGAAAAAAAGCATCATAAAAATGTCCTTTTCCTGAAGTTAATTTGTAACTTTAACACAATTCCAATTGGATGAACAAGTCAGACATTTTTAACCTATGGAATAGTAAAGGCTAGAAAGGAACATTCATCCATACCTATTTTGTGACATAGAATTTTAGAGCAAAAAGAAGCATTAACATGCATTATTTTTCAGAGGAGGACACTAAGTTACGGAGAAGTTAAGGGACATATGATATGCTAAAATTGGAAATATTCTTGGCCCAATTTAAACTTTGTTCTAGAAATGTTGGAATTCAATAAAAATAATTATAATCATAAACTATTAATTTTGGAAAAAAACATCGAAGTTGAGACAAAGAAATGTAAATCAGTTTACCAGGATAACCTATAGAATTAGGCACAAATTCTAAATAGTCTTTGGTCATGCAAACTTGCAGTTCAATACTATTCCTCCACACCATGTAACGTCTTAAGCGCTTTCCTAGTTAATGTCTCTTTACTTCCAATATACTGGTACCACAGAGCAGTTCTGGAAAACAGAGTATTGAAATGCCTTCCAAAGATATTTACTAGAACTTGGATTCTTACTTCATTCCTGTAAGTATGATAGGTACAAATACACATTTTTTTTTCCTCAATTTATAGATGGGAACACTGAGGAACAAAGGATCTCAGTCCTTTTAGGTCACATTTATTTCCTCAACATAAATATATTGACAGCCTCTTGTTCAAGGCCTTGCACGTGGTACTGTAGCAAAGATAAGACAATCCCCAACCACAGAGAGCAAATGTGGTGAATTACTAGTGAATCAGTCACCCAAATTCCACTCCAGGCTATGCCCTAGAAATGCTCCTAAACTGATGATTTATTTCACAAACAGAAACAAGTTCTGTTCTGACAATAATCATGAACTAAATGACTTGCTGTGCCATCCGGTAAAATGCCAGTTCGGCTCACAAGTGACTCTTCGTTGTTTCTTAAATGCCTGACCCAGAATTTTGAATGCAGTCATCAAGACATCGCCCCACAGTTGAGCTGTGTCATGGAGCAGCTAGCCCATCTAAAGGGCTGCCTACTCGTCCACCTGCTCAGCCTGTGTGGGCTGGGAATGTGATACCATGCAAGGGTGGCAATGCCTACCACATACCCTTTGGGAAAGTGCTCTGGGCCTACCTCATATATACT